TTTTTTCGTGCCAAAGACGCCTTACTATACATGGTTGTTCTTTTTCGGTGAAAAACAATTACTGTACGTGGCCAGTTTTTTGGGCAAAAAAAAGACCCAGTCACACATGGTGTTGTGGTACACACATCTGATTCGTTGGCTGGTAGCATGGGATCAATCTCCACCAGGTGACATCGGAAAATCCAACACCAAACCTTCATAGACGGCATCGTATCTGACCAAAACGCGCTGCCAGTCACCGGTGGTGTAGAGGTATACACGCCGGCTTTCGGTCCAGGCAATGCGGGTTCAAACCCAGCTCAGTATTGTGTGAAAAGACACTGAACACTTTTCCTGCAAACCCTCCGGAGTGCATGTCAGATACGCCTATAGTGCAGAGCAAGTCACAGTCACTGGTAGTGTAGAGGTATACCCGCCGGCTTTCCACCCAAGCAGCGCGGGTTCAAACCCCGTCCAGTGACAAGTGAAAATACATCAAACACTTACCTTTTCCTGGAAACTCACAAAAAAAAAAAAGCATGTCAAATACGCTTATAGTGCAATGCAAATCACATTCACTGGTGGTTTAGAGGTCTACATGCTGGCTTTCGGTCCAGACAATGCGGGTTCAAACCCCGCTCAGTGATGTGTTAAAATACACTTAACACTGTACATGGTCATTTCTTTTAGCTACATCGCCTTAGTATACATGGTTGTTTTTTTGTGTTAAAAACGCCTTACTATACATGGCCGTTTTTTTTGGCTCAAAAAGCCTTTGTTTTCATGGTCGTTTTTTTCGTGCTAAAAACGCCTTACTATACTATGTCGTTTTTTTCGGCTAAAAACGCCTTCCTATACTGTCGTTTTTTTCGTGCCAAAAACGCCTTACTATACTATGTCGTTTTTTTCGGCTAAAAACGCCTTCCTATACTGTCGTTTTTTTCGTGCCAAAAACGCCTTACTATACTATGTCGTTTTTTTCGGCTAAAAACGCCTTCCTATACTGTCGTTTTTTTCGTGCCAAAAACGCCTTACTATACTATGTCGTTTTTTTCGGCTAAAAACGCCTTCCTATACTGTCGTTTTTTTCGTGCCAAAAACGCCTTACTATACTATGTCGTTTTTTTCGGCTAAAAACGCCTTCCTATACTGTCGTTTTTTTCGTGCCAAAAACGCCTTACTATACTATGTCGTTTTTTTCGGCTAAAAACGCCTTCCTATACTGTCGTTTTTTTCGTGCCAAAAACGCCTTACTATACTATGTCGTTTTTTTCGGCTAAAAACGCCTTCCTATACTGTCGTTTTTTTCGTGCCAAAAACGCCTTACTATACTATGTCGTTTTTTTCGGCTAAAAACGCCTTCCTATACTGTCGTTTTTTTCGTGCCAAAAACGCCTTACTATACTATGTCGTTTTTTTCGGCTAAAAACGCCTTCCTATACTGTCGTTTTTTTCGTGCCAAAAACGCCTTACTATACTATGTCGTTTTTTTCGGCTAAAAACGCCTTCCTATACTGTCGTTTTTTTCGTGCCAAAAACGCCTTACTATACTATGTCGTTTTTTTCGGCTAAAAACGCCTTCCTATACTGTCGTTTTTTTCGTGCCAAAAACGCCTTACTATACTATGTCGTTTTTTTCGGCTAAAAACGCCTTCCTATACTGTCGTTTTTTTCGTGCCAAAAACGCCTTACTATACTATGTCGTTTTTTTCGGCTAAAAACGCCTTCCTATACTGTCGTTTTTTTCGTGCCAAAAACGCCTTACTATACTATGTCGTTTTTTTCGGCTAAAAACGCCTTCCTATACTGTCGTTTTTTTCGTGCCAAAAACGCCTTACTATACTATGTCGTTTTTTTCGGCTAAAAACGCCTTCCTATACTGTCGTTTTTTTCGTGCCAAAAACGCCTTACTATACTATGTCGTTTTTTTCGGCTAAAAACGCCTTCCTATACTGTCGTTTTTTTCGTGCCAAAAACGCCTTACTATACTATGTCGTTTTTTTCGGCTAAAAACGCCTTCCTATACTGTCGTTTTTTTCGTGCCAAAAACGCCTTACTATACTATGTCGTTTTTTTCGGCTAAAAACGCCTTCCTATACTGTCGTTTTTTTCGTGCCAAAAACGCCTTACTATACTATGTCGTTTTTTTCGGCTAAAAACGCCTTCCTATACTGTCGTTTTTTTCGTGCCAAAAACGCCTTACTATACTATGTCGTTTTTTTCGGCTAAAAACGCCTTCCTATACTGTCGTTTTTTTCGTGCCAAAAACGCCTTACTATACTATGTCGTTTTTTTCGGCTAAAAACGCCTTCCTATACTGTCGTTTTTTTCGTGCCAAAAACGCCTTACTATACTATGTCGTTTTTTTCGGCTAAAAACGCCTTCCTATACTGTCGTTTTTTTCGTGCCAAAAACGCCTTACTATACTATGTCGTTTTTTTCGGCTAAAAACGCCTTACTATACTATGTCATTTTTTTCGTGCCAAAAACGGCAGACTATATATAGTGTCGTTTTTTTCGTGCCAGAAACGCCTTACTATACTGCCAGAATCGAACCCTACACCTCTGCGTTGTGAGAGTGACGCGATAACCAGTTCATCACCAGGCCACACTGCTAACCTCACACCTCATTCGCAATTTTTTTTGGGGGGGGGGGGGGGTTCAGGACGTGAGGTGGTGTCATACTGTGCAAGTCAGTGTACCTACTGCGTGAGTCTGCGTGGCATCATTCAGACCATTTTTCTGCCTGTGGAAGCAAATACTGACAACACATTCAGAGGCTTTCAATGAAATCATGTTTTGCCAATGACACAATCATTTATTGTCTAAGTGTACTCATGTGCATTCCAAGTTTACATTTCTGAACATCAATAAGCATGACCAGTATCTGTGTCACCTGTCGCTTATTTTACGTCAAGTAAGGCGATGATCGTGAAAAGAACCCCTCTCCTTCACACTTCCAGCTATTGGTACTGTACAACAAAGAGTGTTTGCGAGATGATTTCATGATTAACACATTGGCCGGCTGTCTTTTCACTTTAAAATGTTACTTATTGAAGCATGGCGGTTAAGTAAGTGAACACCAAATATGACGCGGTGATAATTCATGCAAAAATAGCACAAAGCAGACAGGCTGAACTGGTACATATTTGCAACCTTGATTTTTTTTTTTCTCTTTCACAAAACATTCAGTGAACATTTCATTATTTTGACAAAGCATACAAATAGCAAAAGCTACAAGAGGATACAAAAATAGTTTTTCCCCCCCTCAATCAAAATTCTAACAGGTAAGTGCAACTTTGCCAGAAATACAGTTGTGGTTATAAACTTGACCAAAAAAAAAAAAAAAAAAAACACTTTTTTTTTTTTTTTTAACATAACCTCCAATTTTTTACCCTTTTTGTTGGAGAGTGACAAACTGAAAAAAAGTATTGTCAAGCTGAATTAAAGTTTTGATGGAAATTACTTGGTGGTTTTGTTTTCTGTTGGTCACTGACGGGTTGAGCTGTCTGCTACCGTGCCTCACTTGGTACGCCAGTGTTGACCTTGAACGGTAGGCTCCCGTTTGGCATCCTTTCAACTGCCGGTAAAACTAGTCTGGCTCCCCTTGCTGTATTGCATTTAAAACTCCTGCCGCGGCCATTAGGACGGATATTTTCGGCCAGACAATGTCTACCTATGCCATTGAATGAGTCATAATTGAGATCTATGTATGCTGGAATTAATGAGGACGCCCTCTGCTGGCCATTAGGACAATCCGACAGGCACTTTGAATACTGGCTTTGGTCGGGAATCTCCATCCACACTTTTGTACGACCCCAAAGAAATAATGTTCTGACGTGTGTTAATCCTGCCTGTTCTTTTGATGTGCCATTTTAACCACAACCAATCGAATGTCGCGCAAGCACATTTTGTGGGTTCTGTCAATCTTGCCTTGGGCTCAGGACACAGGCAGGCGCAATTTAAAAAAATAAACAAATAAATAATTCATCGCCATTTCCTCTAGTTTGTGTATCTGGTCCCATACTTTTTTTTTTTTGTGAACATAGAAATTGATCATCTACTTTGTAAACTGGTCTGAATAATTAGTTAAGGCAAATGTTGGAGACATCCAGCGCCCTTTTATTCCCTTTATCCAAAAAGCAGGATTTAAGGCACTACCTTCGGATGAAGTTTTCAACGTCGAGAGGGCCCTAATGGTATGTCCTTTAGCAATAAACACGAAAGAGCACAGCAACAGAAAAGATCAATCAGGCTAACTAAGGAGGCGGCTCAAAATAAAAAGGATCGAGATGGCACCGGCATGGACCAATTTGGTACACAAATGTGAGTTAAGTAAACAGCAAGTTGTTTTTGTCTCTTTTCCATTGCTGAAATTCAATTATCTTTTCACAATTGAGCCAGTTGCCACCTAACTGAGTACGGGCGGTACTTATAGGCCTTGATGCGGTAAGGCAATAAATACAGTACTGCACGAGTTAACATTTTTGAAAGATGTAAAATCGTTGTGCAAAGAAAATCATGAGCTTCTACATTCAAATGACTGAATTTCAAAACATCTCATCACAGTCTTTTTTTTTTTTTAATTCTTACTCTAACCAACTTTTAGGCAAAGTGATAGAAATCATGGCATGTGAATGCGTTTCAAAGCCAAGACGTGACTGGATGGCTACGGGGCATCACCTCTGGTCGTGCAGCTATCGGAGGAGGCGCTGGTGGAATCCTCGTGCTTGGCAGGAACATCCTGCTGCTCCGAGGACTCCTGCTGCGGAGCCCTGCTAGGTAGCCGGGAGCTGTGCATGATGTGGGCATCCAACATCTCCAGCAGCAAGTCATACAAAGGCACCATGTTCTTCATTTTCATGCAGTGGAGATGATCCATGCCCTTGTTGCTGCTCATGGAAAAAGAAAGAATAAAATTAGGATTTATTATTATTATTGGGAAGATGTATATCTGGCTCTTGAAGTGGTATCGGTGTTGTAGTATCAGGATATATTTATAAGGGCAAGCGCCTGTACGAATACAACTACAGTACATCTCAGATGTCGAATCCCTCACCTGACGTGTCGGATATGCGAGAGCAGCATGAGTAAGTGGGCCAAGCGGGTGTACTGCTGGCGGAACGTGAGGCCCGTTTTGGCGATGGCCCACACGAGGGCGTCGGTCACGGTGTCGAGAAGGCGCAGCAGCTTGGAGCGGCTCTGCAGCTCATCGTTGCCCTCAGAAGAGGCGAGGCACATGTCTGCAAACGAAACAACAACAAAAAAAAAACACGTGAGAGGGGAAGGATCTTTCTGAATGGATGCTTTGTCCATTTGCAAGATCATTCCGAAAGGTATGACGAAGCTGCTGGCCACATCTCATGTTCAGACTCGCACAGGTGACGTCTGGAGTCCGCCACAACATCACTGATAAGATTTGAGGACTGCTGGTTTAAATATAGAGCAGTGAAAAGGGATATGCACGATTTGACCTTGATCACCAGAGTGCTGATAAGTAACAAGAACTCATGTCAACTTGAACAGCAAAACCCACAGACATCTTGGAGTGGATCTCATTGAAAATTGAATCGAGCCCTCGGAACATCGAAAGGGCCGATGACAAATGCAACTAAGAGCGCGCTGAAAAGAAAATCACAACCTTGTTTGGGGTTTTTTTTTTCTGCTGTCATTCAAAATGAAGAGTGGTATTGCTTAAAGACACCAAAAAAAGTCTCTCTTCATATTTGGCCGAGAGAAAGTAGCAGTCTTCCTTTTTCACCTGATTTGAACCCGAGTACTGAAGGTTAAATAAAGACTGTCTTCTCTGCAGGTTCAAATCGCAGCGTATTTTGATGTCCGCATAGAGATTCTTTCAAAGTCCGACATCTGTTTTTGGTCTCCATCGGGCCCTGCGGGAACACTTTCGTCCTTTCAGCGGCTAAATACATCAGAGGGTCTTCAGTCAGCCAGCCAGTAGCTTTCGGCACTGTTCACCGACTCACGCAGAGTGAGAACTTGAGCATTTTGAGCGTTTTCAGCTCCGAACACTAAAGTCAAGGGATAATGGTGCAAAATGTTTTGCACTTTTGATCAAAGAATATTCATGTCAAAGAATTTTAATGATCATTCACAACCTGGAAGGAACTGGAGGTTTTTTTTTCTCCTTGCAAGACTTTACACGAGCAGCACTGAAGCACATTCAACAGTAACTGCAAAGTGAAAACGGCCCGTTTAATGACTTCTCTGGGCCTGTAAAATAAGATGTTGAAACCACGAATCTCATAAAATGTGACTTTTGATAGATTGTTTTCCATAAAAAAAGTCTTTGCAGAAAACTCTTTTTCATTCAGAAGTTCTATAAATGTCTCTGTTGCAAGAGCTGGATTTCACGTGATTAAAAATTGACTTTTTATTGTTTGTATACAAATAGTTGGGTCACTGGCTCGCCTTCCAAGTCATCGAGGGTAAAATTAAACAACCGCATAAATCTTTTATGTGCCTATTTCTGAAAATGCGGCTCTGAGCGAGCGGTGCTGCACTGCTGTTGCACTCTTACGCAGCGGGGGCAAATTTACATAATAACTGCCCCCGTTTCCCAGCCCATGACATGATCAGCTGGGCAAAGATCCAAAGCCACTTTCAAGCAATTGTCTGAAAGACTAAGCCATCATAGAGCAAATACGAACACTCCCAATGGAAGAAGCTCCCCACGGCTCCTGTAAAAATCTTCAGGCCCTTCTTTATAACATTTCTTTTTATCTCAGTATATTCTATGCGCACATTTTAACCCCAAACTTTTTTTTTTTTTTTTAATCAGCTCCATGAAGACCGACATTGTTCATGTGCTCGGCTGATCCTCCAAAAGCTCTGTCAAAGGAGCAACGGAAAGAGCCATTCAAATTGGTCCAGATATATTCATTAAATCAGATGTCTTTTGGGGGAGGGAGGGAGATAATGCTACGTGTGCTCTGCAGAGCTCCGGTAACACGAATTCATTTTATTTTCTGACTCACGGTTATTACACAAATGATGAGACATGATGAAAGCTGTGCTGGAGGAGAAAAAACACGAACCCCGTTCAACTGTGCGAGTAGCTCAAAGGAAGACAGCCCAGCACAGCACTGCCCGACTGATTGCCACAAACGCAGTGTCCTGTTGTAACTGGACCACATCATCCGCAACAACGTTAGGCAAGGGTACGGCTAGACACACATGCAGCAGCGGCGGCAGTGCGTGTCTGTCTTTGTGTTGACTCACTGGAGTTAAGGAGGATCATGGCCTTGAGGCAGACAAACTCCTCCCTCTGCAGCTTGAGTTCTCTCACCCTGGATGTGGCGGCTACGAGCATGTCAAAGATCTCCGCGAAGCCCTGGACGCAGCTGCCCTCTTCCCTGCCACACAAATACAACCGTTGTTATTTCCTCTTCAGGACAGAAAACTTCCACGGAGAAACTGAAAGGAGAATAGTTGAGTGAATGCAGAGCAAGTCAAGCATTTGCGTTAATGTTACGAGGAGTCACGGTGGATCCTTTGTTCAACCATTGTTACAGCAGAATATTTGGCTGTTTTTTTTAACAAAAACTAATGCCAACTATTTTCTTCTCAGTACTGCAATTGCCCACCTCTCTCCTCTCTTTCTTTTTTACTGTACAGTATACAGCAAACTTGCCTTTTTTTTTTAATTCAAACCGTATTAACCAGTGTGATCAGCCTGCAATTCATCGCTTTCTTTGCAAACATGACTGGCTCAATTTCTGAAGGAATTGCAATTTTTTTTTCGGTTGATTTAGATTTCTACCCTCAAGCCATATTAAGCCCGTTTTTTTGGGAGCTGGAATACTCAATCAGCAGCTCGCGGTAAGATATTTTCAGAGCCATGATATTATATTCAAATATGGGATGCCAAACTGGATGATATTGCTTGTGAAATGAATCGAAAGCCTATCACAGAATCTCATATCAGTCACCGGATAAACAACATCCCCTGGTGAACAAGGGAATGGGATTAGAGCAACCGCATCGTCAACATTTTTTTATCCCCCCCCCCCACAACCTCTTCAGTGATAAAGGTTGGAATCTGAACCTATTTCAATGAATTCTTTGTGAGACCACAACGTTGTCAGGTGTTGAAGTCAGGATAAGAAATCGAGTACCTGCTCAGACTGAGGTCAGGAGAGAAGATGAGTTTCCCCGGGTGGTTGACCGACCTCCACATCAGTCCTATCATTAGCACCTCCAGCCAACAGCACTCCAACATGTGCACCTGGTCCAGAAGACTGAGCTCCACAAACCCTGAAGAGGTCACAGTGTGGGATGTGTGCAATGCTTAGCGCTGACATGTCAAACATCTTTGCTTTTTTTTCTTTCTTTTTTTTTTTTGCTTGGTCAAGCACCACAATGGATCTGTATTTTTTTTTTTTTTAAATCTTGGAACAGTTTTTCTGGGCAAAAGAAGAGTTTGATGTACTTCCTCAGGTGATTATTTGTCAGAAACGCGGTTGGACTTTCAGATGGATAGACAAAAGAGAACAACAGTAAATGACAACAATGATCATTGGAGTTGGATTTTTTTTTTTTTTTTTTTTTTGCACACATGGACCAGGAAGGCAGCGCTACACCCAATGAGGAAAGCATATAGAATCAAGTCGAGACAGGAGATCGGACAGGGCGGCGCAAGGCAAGAACAGGACAGGCAGGGTCCGATCTAAAGGTTGGCTGTGATGACTTGACAGAGTGCCATCAAGACCCAGTTTGCTTGCATTAGCTCTCATATTAGTCATGACTGTGCCCTCTTTGTATGAAAATGATACATTTTCCATCATGACTGTGACCTATAACCCTTAACGCATACCTGGGATCTTCTTGGCCCAGCTGATCATGTGAACCAGCTCCTTATCAGCGAGGTTGGTCAGAGACATCATGACGTTGGCTTCGGTGAGCGGCCTCCTCATATCCTTCATCAGGTAGATTTCGGGCGGCTCCGCCTCCATTATTCGCTGGATTAGCTGCTCCGGGGTCAACGCGGGCGGGTGGAGCTCGGAAACAGCCGGCGGTTCGGTTAACGCCTTGGCTCCGTGAGTCTTGCTGTGTGAGGACAAACTCACTCGCCGCCTCTGCTGGTTCCGGTAGTTTCCACGCTCCTTGCGCATGCCTGAGCCAACAGACACAAGATGGGGCGGAAAAAAAAAAATGCAGGAGAAGAAAGAATGGCGATGATCATAAAGGGAGTGATCGGTTAGCGATATGCTGTGGTCACTCATTAGCCTAGCAGAGTCCTCACGACAGCACGGTGAAATATGACCATATTGTGGTTAGACAGATTATTGCAAAGTTTTCTTTTTTTTGTCTACAGTTTTATAAGGTTTTATATTGAGTCCGGATTTAGAGTTGTGCAATTTCAGGGCAGTACAATGTTGTGCCAAAACATGCCGCAAAGCCTCTCATTTCTTGACAAAAGCGTGCATACAGGCGATAAGGAATATTTGAAAAGGTGTATTTTAGTGAGTGTTTAAAAGTGTTGATAGCATGTGGGAGGACTTTTTTAAATCTCATTTTAGTTTTTTTTAATTACCGTATTTTCCGCACTAAAAGGCGCACTGGATTATGAGGCGCACCTTCAATGAATGGCCTATTTTGAAAATTTTTTCATATATTGGACGCACTGGATTATAAAACGCAATCTACAGTGCATCCACTTGATGGAGCTACACTCCTTCCGCTCGACTCGAGAGCCGTTCATGACCGCCTCTGAAAAACGTAAATTAACGATTCCTTCAATGAAACTACGAAAATTGTAAACGCATCAAAACAGAAAATCAAGCGCGGAAATCTCAAAATAAATTCTATAGCCCCCCTACTGAATTTATTTTGGCATTTCCTTCAACGTAGTTCCAACAGAACAATCAGATGTCAGTAAAATATAGGAGACAGGACTGTCTCAGAAGTGTTTATTTATTCATTTGTTGTGTACTGTATTCACAAACGAGAAAGTCACAAAATAAATTCTGTAGCCCCCCTCCTACAAAATTTATTTTGTGATTTCCTTACTTGATTTTCTGTTTTGATGCATTATTTTCAATTTTCGTACTTTCATTGAAAGAATCGTTAATTTACGTTTTTCGGAGGCGGTTATGAACGCCTCTCACGTCGAACGGAAGAAGCCACGGAGACGGACAAAGACGTACCTGCATTTGTTGAGACTGTGAAAACCATTAATAAAGTGTGCGTTTTTAAAAAAACGACACCACAGCACTCCTTTTATCGGAGCTGCAACAAAAAGTGATTTAATAAAGCAGCGACACAGTTCACTGAACCAACAGCAAGTTATAATATTGTAAGCATGTCTCCAGCAAGGAGCCCTCTTCAGTCGACATATTACCGTCATGACCATACACAAGGCGCAACGGATTTTAAGGCGTGCTGTGAGCTTTGAAGAAAATGGAAGACATTTAGTTCACTGGGTGCCATTTGAAACCTCGGAACCTAACATCATATGTTGTAAACCAAAGACCACCCCGTAGAGGACTTTGAAGGATGGCTCACCACATTTGGTCATGCCAGCTTCGTAGCATTTGCGGAGGCGGCACGCCTGGCAGCTCTTGCGACGGTTCTTGTCTATGGTGCACTGATTGGTTGCCGGGCAGATGTAGTCATTGTGGCCTGAATCAAAGATGACAGGACAGATGAAAGTCAAGATAAAAGGTAAGCAAGGACAAATTCAAAGCAACACCATCCTTGCAGACTCTGCGTATACTGCAGCTTGTGGAAGAGGAACTCAAATCCCAGGGCAAATTAACAAAAGTAAATGTTTAAAAAAAAAAATCAGGATGCGACATTGACTAAGACACGTTTCCGTTTGCCTCACCTTGAATGCTCCTCTTGAAGAAGGCCTTACACCCTTCACAAGACCAGACGCCATAATGGTAGCCAGAGGCATAATCCTGGCAAACGGCACAGAAGTGGAGGTCTGCTTTCCCACCCGATGACACCACCAGCTCCTCGCTCTCGTGGGAGCGCCTGCGCTTGCTAACAAACACGTGTGTCAGTCAAGGTTTATGGTGGTGTACACTAGACAGGCGAGCGCGTGTGTGTGTGTGTGTGTGTTCATTTGGTCGAACGTGTCAACCAGTAACGTGCGCTATTGATTTGACTTTTGACCGCATGAGAATCGATAAGGCACAAGCTCAGATGCGATCCAGTGACACAAAACAAACAGCAGAATCGACCCGTGAACATGCGGCGATTTGACTTTGGACCCTCGCATCTTAAATCCAGATCAGCGTTCAAAACGGACATTCTTCATGGTCTGATACGGCGCAAGAAAGTTGAAGCACACCGACTGAAACTGGAGAGACCAGCAGAGAACTGACCCTGAACATGTAATACACGTGCTCTTGTTTTGGCATGGTGCAAATCTCTTAAAGATTGGTGGGAAATTGTGACAGGAAGCGAGATGATAAGAAACGTGTCGACCTATGACCCCCATAAAAAAGTTGAAACGCACGACCTGAAGTGACAATGAACAATTATTTTGAGCTTCCTCAAGCATCCCGAACTGTCTGTGGTTCAACATTAGTCGGGTTCCACTTCGTACTCAAACGGAATTCAATCATCTTATGGGTGAGGATTGTGACACAAGTGGTGTCAAGATTTTCGGATTGGATTCCGTTCTTGCTCTGGTTCTGATTGATTGAAACATTGGGATGTTTCCAGAGCTGACAAAGTGCAACTGCAGATTGGACCTTGGACACCGGCTATCTCAATCACGTTCGAACGGATACTACCTCCGTATCGAATCAATGATCAAAAGTCAAAATATTTTCTCACTCCAAAACGGTGCGATGAACAACAAGGTCTGAGCCACAAATGATCTCATCTCAGTCAATTGGAGCGAAAATGATGCGTCTACCACAAACAATGCATCTTTGTTCATGTGTTTGTATCTAAGCCACTGGAAGCTCCCGGTTTAGTTCCTCTTGCGAAAACCCGAGTCCCGGTTCGATGAGGAAAAAGCTACGCGAGTGCTCAAAGCGCTTTAACGCTGCCTCCATCGCACAGCATCAATAAAAGAAGATCTGTCACAGCAGCAGGAAAGAGCAATAGTCGCCCCCCCCCCCCCCAAAAAAAAGTGATGCAAGGTCCTACCTGGCAGTCAACTCGCAGCCCCCAGGAGACAGCTCCGCCCACGGACTCTGGATAGGCTGACTCTGCTGAGGGCGTGCCTGGGAGGGATGCAGCGGTCCGGGCGGGCCCATGTGGCCCTGGCTGGGCCAGAATAAGGAGGGCCTTAGGGACTGGTGCACAGGCGAGCAGTCTGAAAGTCCCGACCCAGTGTAGAAGATAGTTGGACTGTAGAAAGGGATGGTGGTAAAGTCATGGCTGAGGTCGGTGTAAGGGGAGGGGATACAGATGGGCTGGCTGGTTTCGAGGGACAGACCCGGGGAGGAGGCGCTGTGGATGGGGGAGAGGACGCGACAGCCCAGTCGACTGGAGTCCACCTCCTGGAGCTGAAGGAGGGGCTGAGCCTTGTCTGTGGCCATCGCTAGCGCAAGGATGTCTCTCTAAGGCTGGGCGTCCGACATCGTCCATGTAGGATGGCACGGTGTTGGATACGAGACGACTTTGCGACTGTAAGAATGCCAAGCCCCTTAACCTTGACTTAACTGTGAACTTCCAGTGTTAGGATGTGTCCTATGCACGACCGAGATGTCGAGAATCTCGGGTGAATATTCCAAAATATCCCGGAATTAAGAGAAGGGGTGTCTGGTCTACGCCAATGAAAGGACAATGTTGAGTGGTTAGAACGGCCATGGGGACTCACTGAGGCAGACAGGACATCCCTGCAAGACAAACAAAAATGGACCAAAAAAAAAAAAAAAAAAAAAAGCCATGAGAGCGCATCGTGGCAGATCATGATGATGTCACAGCAGAGTTGACCTTTTGGATATGTCTCTCACTCTCGGACGCTAAACAATAATAACATTTCTCATTGCTTTACGTATGCCCAAACACTATTTGCACAAGCTGTCAAATATAAACGGCATATTTCTTAATGGCTTATCACTGTTGACAATCGAGCACACACAAAACTGCACCTTATTTGTTGAAGCCCACTCCAGCTCGGACTTTTCCTTCGTACATCGAGTTGTTTCTTTGTTAAATCCGATTCCGAGCTTTTGTGAGGGAGGAACTTGAAAGTAAGAAAAGGGATTCCTAAGTGTAAGCACTTTGTATTTTTTTTTTAACAGTGAATAAGACAATAAAGCCCTGTTCCATTTTCCATTAAATACACTTTGAGTTCTCTCATTAAAAAAAAAGGTTACAGTCTCCAGGACAAACTTAATAGGGTCCTCCTTAGCCTCCTTTCGAACTTCTCATGGGAATCAATTGTTTTTTTCCCCCTAAACACAATAAACATGCAAAGCAACGCCTAAACTTTTGCTGTTCTTCGTGCACAGCCGAGAGAAAATATTCTTCGAGGTGAAAATCTTTTCAATTTATTTTCTCCGGTGCCTGTCGTCATTAGGGGGATGAGTAAGCTGGAGTCTGCCTGAACTGGTGGCCAGCCAATACATGTTACACACACAAAAAAAAAAAAAAAAAAAAAAAAAAGCAATGCCAACTACTAGTTCGTCTTACTGCCCTAATTTCTCTCATTACAATTCCAAACAAAAGCCTGTGAGCCGACGGAATTTTAGTAATTAGTCTTATTCATACCACTAATATTGAAAGTTGTCATTTTCACTTTTTTTTTTATTTAAAACGCTTTGGCAACAGAACTATTTTTTGTATCTTCAAAATTCAAATCCATTTCATAGCCACATGCAATCTTCGCAAAGTTAGTTGTTAAAGGTCAATAATAATAAGAATAATAATTACCATCATCATCATCGTGGCCACCCGCTGTGCCATTTCTGCTCTAAAAATCTTGCGTTTGCCCGCTATTTTGCATATTTGCAGCGTGTAGGAAATGTTAGCCAGAATGGGAAATATGATTACAAATGCACTTTCGGCAGACGCCCATTAGATCAATAGGCAACACACACACACACACACACACACACACACACACACACACACACACACACACACAGAGGTCGGATCCCAGGAAAGTACAAGACGTGTTGCTTTGCTTTTACAACATCTGATACAGCGCACCCAGCGGAGTTAATCATTCCTGGGTGCCAGCCGTCTCATCTTCACTCACAGTTGGAGAACATTCTTTGCTCCTTTTTGGCATCGCTTTCATTTATTGTCAGTTTGTTCGGACGTGAGTGAGGGTTAACCATGCACTAAAGGAGTGAGTGATCTATCCAGTACGAACTTCACGCCATGTCGGTATCGTCATCTGTTGAACGGTCGGAATCTATTATACATTGACGTTGGAATTAAACAAGACAACGTTCCCAGAACACAGCGACCCTGTGATGTGATCACTGATTAGTAGTAAGGAACACTTATTCAAAGTTGCAACAACTAAACTTGACAATGGGAAACACATTTAACCACCCTACGGTTTTGGGTGCCAAGTATATTATCTACTCCTTTTAAAAAATAAAAAATAAATAAATAAAAAATTAAATCCCTGCAGTTTCATCCCCTGCTCTGCATGAGTGAAATCATAAATACTGGCCGGGGGTGAATGCTGGCGAGCGTATGCCAACGTTGGCGTACTGCGCAAGACTGTGGTGAGAAACTGGGATGGAATGCTCAGCCATCCCAATTTATTTTCATGCGTAGAAGTCAAAGCACTGAGGCTGAATTTTAGGTATTGCGTTCAAGTTATTGTTCAGGATTCATGACAGCGTTTTCAGTCGCTCAGACAAAAATTGTTTGTCCGTTCAAAGTTTCAAAAGTTTTTGAAAATGATCCAATGATGGTCGACGGACAGACCGAAGGGAGTCAGGTCAAGTGCGCTGTCGGGGGAGTTCAACTTTACCTCAGTCACCTGGGGGTTGATCAAGTCTCACCAGACTTCTAAAGTCAGGTAACAACCCAAAGTTAAAGACACGGGGATGCACGCTCGGTTTGAAGTTTAACAACGCCGACTCGCAGCTCACTAGTTTGGTTAGTTTAGTTCTGGGTACGATTCAAGAGGCATGGTAATTCAACACCAAGGCTTTTCACTTGGATCGACTCTACTGTGCGCAAACGATAAGTGGACCAAAAAAAAATAAAACAATGTTACTGTCTTCTTCCATTAAGTTTTCTATAAACTTAAGTCTGTATCCAACTAAGTGACTACTAAACCAGATGAGTCACACTCGGAAAACAGCAAAATAAAAAATAAAAATGTAAAAAAAAAAAAAAAAAA